ATTAACCTAAATCTAATGGTTGGTATTTTGCCACATATATTAGTTTTTGTTACTTTCTTAATTCTTTTTTTTTTGGTTATTCATGCAATTAACCCTAGTATTTTTTTTAACAAAAAAAAAGTTATAGATATTTGATATTTTTCATGATAATTTATATGGAGATCGAGGAGACAAAAATATAAAGTAGCATCCTCCGATGACTATATGCCACTAACGACAGTAAGATATATCATTTCTGGTATGATAACTGGTATGATAGGAATTGACTTATGGGAATTTCTTCTCAGAGTAGTGTGTGGCAGGCCTACTTTGCGAAGGATTGGCAAATCCCCTCAAGGTCCAGAAACGGCATGATTAGAAATGTGTGTGCACTTCTAAGGGATTCTAACCCTCCTGACATTAGCAGGGGCTCGGATATCTACTACTGCTCCGAGCTTTTCAACGAATACAACCTGGGACACAATAAGGCCACGCGAGCAGAAGAAAAATTGGATTAAAGCGGTTTGGTGCAAATATGTTGTCCCCAAACATTTCTTCACTTTCTGGACATCAAATCTTGATAGACTACCGGTTAAAATGAGATTGGCAAACTGGGGGAATGAATATTATTCCCAACATGAGGAATCTAGAGACCACTTGTTTATGCTCTGCGACTATTCCATTTTGATTTGGCCTAAGATACTCTTTCGTTTAGGCTTATCTCAACAGGTCTTTCACTCGTGGAATACTATGATGATGTGGTTACTGTCTCGGTCAAGCAATGGCACATCAATAATTCTGAAAAGACTTGCTGCTCAAGCAACTGTCTACTCGCTTTGGAAAGAGAGAAACAGTAGACTACATAACTCAATTTCTCTACCACCGGATAGCATCTTTCAACAGATTGATAGAACCGTAAGGGACATTCTACTAGCTAGGCGTCTCCGCAAAGGTTGTAGTGGTCTCCGATCACAATGGTTCACCTATAGTTGAGTGCTCTCATGTTGAGATATTGTGATTGTTAACTTCTTTTGGCTTTTTACTCTTTTTTTTTTTTGGGTCAATGAAGTTCCAAGCTAATTAGCTCTTGTATTAAACTTTCCTTTTGGTAATAATATTCACATCTTATCAAAAAAAAAAAAAGATATATCATTTCCATTTCTGGCAAATCGTCTTTGTCCAGAACAAAATTAGTTAATAAATGGACTTATCCAAAACACTTAAATGCAAAACTTTTTGTTATACAAAATAAAAACCTATAACCACAAAATTCGTAAACACCATAAAAAGCATGCTCATGCTTCACCAAAGACATCACAACTATTCTTCTCATCTCTTCTTGCTTCTTCATTTGAACTGAGATGTGTTTTATTTTTGTATGTAGACTATGTAGTTTTATACATTTTGGTTGTGTGGGAGAGTGTAATAAAAACACATGTAAGTTACAAAATCATAAACCATTCTATTTCTAGTAATAAAAATGAAAAATCTCCGAGAAAGCGAACGCAATGACACGCCACTTTGTGGTAAAAGTAAGGTAGCTTAGACAATGGTACTTCTTTACTTTCTCTCTTAAATTCGACGAAAAGT